TTTTTATGAATAGGTGGCAACCCCCTTGTATGTAATAAAAATATAAAAACCTTTTCAAAACCATTTAGCTTGATACCCATATTGTACTAATTAATTTATTTATGTTTAAAACTTTTAAATCAATTTTTTAAACGGTGGCAACTCTTTTCGAAAAAGTAAAATCTTATAGCACTTCTACAGCGCGAGCCCTTTCATTTGACACCTCATTTTTTAAAATCGAATGAACAGTGCAGATCTGGTGACCTGGACAAAAAATCCCTTCACGTATTACATATGTACATATACAGATAATTAAACAAATTCACGCTTATATGCATACACATGTAGATTTTAATATTATATTTTCTAATCGTCTACCTGGTACTGTGATCAAGAAAGAAAGAATAAATGAAAAATTATGCGTTATTCAGTATTACTTGAATCATGAATAAAAATTATTCTTCATTGGAAATTACTTGAATGAAGAATAAAAATTTATTCATTATTCGAAATTACTTGAATGAAGAATAAAAATTTATTCATTATTCGAAATTACTTGAATGAAGAATAAAAATTTATTCATCATTCGAAAGTGTTTGAATAAAGAATAAAAATTTATTCATTATTCTAAAGTGCTTGAATAAAGAATAAAAATTTATTCATCATTCGAAAGTGTTTGAATGAAGAATAAAAATGTATTCGTTATTCGAAAGTGCTAGAATGAAGAATAAAAATTTATTCATCATTCGAAAGTGTTTGAATAAAGAATAAAAATTGATTCATCATTCGAAAGTGTTTGAATAAAGAATACAAATTTATTCGTCATTCAAAATTTTTGAAATGATGAATGAAAATTTATTCTTATTTTTTTTTTATTCAATTATTCATTTTCTTGATTTCGCCCATCCCTGGTTCCAAACGCACTAGAACCGAACCAGTTCCGCACTAGTTCGTTTTCCTACAGGGAAGTTTTCGCAACAACAAGCTTTTAATTCAGAATTTTTCAGAAAGATTCTAAGTTTGCAGTTTTATAGTCCATTAAATAAAAATGCAAGTTTCTGCAATATCCCGATGATTTTTGATATTTTTTTTTCCTGACGGTCTCATACATTTTCATCCATTAAAAAATTTTCGAACACACTTTATATGGAAAAAAATGCATGGAATTGAAAACTTGGAATCTCCTTAAAAATTCTGTATTCAAAGTTTGTTGTTGGGAAAACCTGCTGAATTTCTATAATTTTTGTGCAATGTTTGAAATTACGATTTTTGTACATATATTGTGTTTATTAAATTAGGAATTAGACTTTTACATACATAAAATCATTCGAAAAATAATCAATGAACAGAAAGGCGAAATTGGTCAAAATATCTCACTGCCATTATTTCGCATATAGGTGCATATGT